GTTCATTGAATCACAGAATTTTAGATCTGGGTGGACCATTAATTTGCCACTTTTCCTTGTAATTATTAATTCAGCCTTTTCCAGAAGAACTCTTAGAAAAAGCCACTTCTTTGACAATCTCAACTCTTGTGTGTGGCCTATTTTTAAAAAAGAAACAGAATGTATTCTAAGTCTTAATATCATCTGAGGTCCTATATTTTTCCTATCTTACATCAGTGAACACCTAACAGAATACATTTGAGGGCCATCTAATGTGAAACATACACCTCCAGATTAGGAAATGCATACCGTTGGTCCTCATACAGATACTTTTATTCCCCTTGATAATGTAGAGCTTTTAAAAACCATAGAAAAATATTTAGTCCAAAAATTAGAGAAAAGAATTAATAATATATGTGACTAATTATGGATTAAAGTACTCTATTTCGGGCAATTATATAGAAAGACAGACTGTGAACTGTGCACTATACTAAGAGTAAGAAAACCTTACCTTCAACAATGAAGATAAATTTAAAAATAAATAAGTAAATGTTAACACTTCATACAATTAAAGGATAAGAAAACCTTGTTTTTAGTTTTGACTGTTTCACAAATCATCTGTGTAACTGATGACGGTGAACTTGGACGTATTATCTGTTCAACTAGGACCTAGAGATGGAATACAATCTAGGTGACCTCCAAGAGCTCCTGAGTTTAAAGATTTACAACTCTATGAAACAACTATGGTGTCGATTTCCCAGTTTAAAATAGTGCTAACAACACTGCCACCACATAAATGTTACATGCCTCCAAACTGAAGGAATACCCCACCAGCACCAGCAGGAATGGCCCAAAAACCACACCAAAAATACAAAAACATTTTCTTTTGGAAACATATATCAACTTCCTCCCACACCCTCTGCTTTCTCCTCCTGCCCCTGAAGCTCAAGCTATGCACGTCCCCCCATTTTCTCATTTCAGCAACCTTCTTCATGTCCCTGAAAGTCCTCCTTCCCAGTCTTCACCCCAGCTCTTAGGTTATTATTCCAATTAGTTTAAAAGATGCTTCCAAGGCCCTTTTACAATACTACCCTAAGCGAACAAAAGAAAAAAAATTAACTAAACAAAAAAACAACCAATCAACTAGCACAACTCTAAGAAAACACTGTGATGAATATATAAAATATCTGCCTCACTGGGCACTGTGAACCTGCGAAATATCCTAGGCAAGCATGAAAATGGAAGAATTACCATGATGCTATGAAAATGGGTACTGCATAAGGCACTCCAAATGAAGCACTCAACGTGTGTTCAACCCTTTTCATGTGGTCAGTTGGCCACTGGGGAAGAAAGCAATTCAGGAAAAACCAACCAACCAACCAACCAACCAACCAACCATAAACCTGTATATTGCTTTATGCAGCCCCGTTAGGCTAGAGATTAAGAGAAGGAAAACAGTAATAGCTGTAACCAGGCTATTTAGAATTTAATATAATATAATCATGATCACATTGTGTTGACTCACCAAATTGTCCCTAAAACAAACCAATTTCTTATCTCCTCACTGTCTTCTAAGTTGTTTTTTCTCTTCTCATGAATAAAAAATTTTACTCTAGTAATATTTTGCATTTTTTAGTTTAAATACTCTGCAGTTGAAATTGCATTCCTGTAATTATAATTATAACTAATAGACCTTCCATTTCCCATGTCATAATTAATGTCAGGCTTTATTAGAAGTATAATCACGCAGCCTTTTCACTTGTAAAGCTTCTTTTATTTTCACAACATTTACTTTGTATGGAATTAAGCAATAAAGAGTTCTAGAGGCCTTCTGAAAAGATACCCTTAGTCACGGATGCTGAGTAAACTGCCTATGAAACATTTCTTACATTGTTTTTAAATCACCTAAAAGATTTTCTAACATATGATTTGTTCAACATCAATAAGGGAACCCAGAAATCAATGATTCAGTGATAAACAGGTTAGATTTCTGATAAAGGACATTTAATGTGATCTCAGCAAGGATGAAAGAACTAATGACAACAAAAATATCTGGAGATCATACTTATTGACTATAATGTATGACATATACAGATGTGTTAACTTAGTAGCAGCAATTTAGTGGCCAGTAAAATACATTGATATCCAGGGATTAATTTTTCATAGACCTTGGTTACACTGTTGCTACGGTTCTTTTAGACCACATCTAGAAGTCATAACTTTACTAGTCAACTCTTCAAGCAAAGCAGAACTATCCTATTGGCGAAACTGAAATTAGAATTCAAAGGTGTTGTACAACTTCAGCAATTTGAAATGTAATTTAGAGGGAAGAATGTAATGTAAACTAACTGCTTCTCTAATATTAAACAAATATTTTATATGTAATTTACAAGGTATATGGTACACTTGCAAGAGATACCCTAGATATCTTTAAAACAGGATAGTGGACTGTTATAGACGGAATGATTGTGTCTTCCAAAAACCCACTGTTTAAGCCGTATTGCCCAGCAGATGGTATTTTGAGGTGTGGCCTCTGAAGGGTAATTAGGATTAGCTCATGAGGGTGGGGCACCCATGGTAGGATTAGTGACCTTACAAGAAGAGGAAGAGAGGCCAGAGCTCACTCCCTCTCTCTCTTCACCAGGTGAGGACACAGTGAGAAGGGGGCCCTCTGCAAGCCAGGAAGAGGGCCCTCACTAAGAACCGAATCTGCTGGCACCTTGACCTTGGACTTCTCGGCCTGCAGAACTGTGAGGAATGGGTGTCTGTTGTTTAAGCTTCCCAGTCGATGGTATTTTAGTACAACAGCCTGAGCTAAGACATGAACTATACTTTTTAGGTTATAAGTGACTGACTCTGAAGTTCCTATTATGTACGGCCCATAAATAACGCAATTAAATCTTAAGAGCACCAGCTCCTATTGTTGCCCTCACTGGATTATTTAAATTGCTTCCTTGGTTGGTTCACATCTTCTCAAGAAAAGCTGCACATCCTCAACAATATGTTACATGTAATTTTATATGCAATATAAGTAAGGAGCTGTTATATATAATCTCCACAAAATCAAGAAATGGTTTCAGTGTTAATCTTCCTGGGATTATACGTATAAACACATTTCTACAATACACAAACTTTTTCAATGCTATGCTCTACAAATGCTTTTGAACTAATTGCTTGAGCTATTTTATATGATTCCCATGGAACGTTTCTTGAAATTATGGTGAATTCAAACACTATGCAGCAAATTAAAATGTCACTTGGAGAATAAGGATCACATCAGTTAACAGGATTTGAAATGTAGAGAAAAATGGATCTTATCTGTAATAAAGTCCATTGTGTTGCAGGGCTCTTAATTATGGGTGGAAGTCATGGACAAATATAAACGTGGGTTCTAAACTGAACCCACTACGGTGCATTTCAGGATAGTCCCCAAATTACAGGGCCGGGGGCAGGAATTCAAATAAAAGCCCTCACACCATGTTTAATTTTTAAAATTATAAAGAAACAAAATGATAAATAAATGTTGATTTATTTATCTCCTCTCATTCCTTGAAAATATATCCCCATTACAACCTGGAACTTGGGGAAATTTCCAAGATTAGCCCTGAAATAGGATGGTGTGGAGCCAGCTTCCAGTCTTAGACCCCAACTCACCCCACTTCTTGCGCACATTTCGCAACGAACACCATGGAGCCTCACACGGAAGCTTATGGGCTAACCCAAACTCCACCCTCATCCTCCTACAGACAGCTGCCCTCTGGCCACCTTCTTAGACTTAGGGGTTCACACAGGAGCCGTGTGCTCTGCCTTCAGAAAACTGGGTGGGCAGAGAATTCACGGGCGTTGGGTAGCTGGTGCACTATCTGGGAGCGGAGGCACCGCCTCGGAGTGGGCAGTTCCTCTTTTTGAATTTCTTCTGAATTTCTTGCCCAATGAGGAAGGGTGGCCAGAGGCCAGAGGGGGACTCTCAGTTACAGGGCTCGTTCTTGCCAAGCTTTGAGGGCAGTTTATAACAAAGCAAGTCATTTTATGAAAGTTGGAAACTCAAGACCCAGGGACAATTTTCTTTCCTCAAGTAGAACTGATAGAAAAACTCAGCAGTTATTCCTAGAGAAGCAACAGTTCCTTCATTAAAGAACATCCAAAACTTTGCATCCAAACAAAAGGAAATTACATTGTTTCCAAACATTTCCAATTGCACAACCATCGATGGAGCACAGTTTCGATGTTAATAATATTTTGCAAATACACAGTGCCCTCCTTATAAGCATTAGCTTTTATTTCATACTTTTTGTAAAAAGTCCCTGAGATGTCTGAAAAGCAGATGTCCTGATTTTGAGATGGTAACAGGAGAAACTACGCACAAATGAGTTAAGTAATTCTTCTGAGGTCTCAAGGTCAAGTTTGGTGGTAACATCTGCAATAGATTTAAAAGTTCCTTATTTTTAGGAAAAATCCCCTTTCTTCATCTTGATATGCTACTTTGTGGGGTCTTTCTGCTTCATTGAGACTAAAGCTAAGCTCTATGAATAAACCATAAATCTGTGTTTTTGTCTTCCTCTCCTCGTGTGTAAGAATCTTTAATTCTGGACCCTTGGAATCTTGCCACCAATGAAGGAAAAAAACAAACGGCTATAAGCAATAAGCGACCCAGTGCAGAAGTACATTACTTTCTGTAAACACTGTTATTAAACAGTGCTGCAGCAGCAAATGGGAAAAAACAACAAAAACCCCAGCATCCTGAAAAGAATTACAAGGTTACTCACTCTCTTGGGCTGAGAGTGTGTCTAATTTTACAAATTGCACTCTTCTTTGTACTGGTTTCATATCTAGATCCTATTTCAACCATGGGTCCCCAACACAACGGCTTGATAGCCCCACCCTTCGCTTCTACAGAAGGATTCAAAGAAGGGATAACATTCGGAAGATTCCACACCCCAAAATAGGAGCCGCCCAGGCTGCCACCGAGGCAATCAAGGCCACAAGCCGGTGCAAAGGTGTCACTTAAACCATGGGCCTACCTGAGTCGTACGCAAAATCTCTGGGCTCCTGTTTAATCATCAGAGGCGGGGGGAAGCCTTGGCCGGGCGCGCCCCCGACCATGGTGTTGTGTTCGTATACCGGGTCGTGGTACTCCTGCTTGAAGCCTTGGGGTGGGAAGGGGATGTTGGGCTCAGACATCTGCCGCTGGTACATAGGCCGTCCTTCCCTTGGCATCGTCGGCAAAGGAGGAAAGGAATTACAGGGTTCCGAAAGCTGGCGGCGAAATCTGGGAGACGAGAGAGCATGTTTCAGATAAAACAATAACAAGGAATACTCTTTAAGATACTGGCACACATTTTTCTTTTTTTGAACTGTTTAATGGACAGGATACCACCAACTGATCCAAGGTGTGAATCTTTAACAAAGGCTAGATTTCTCCTTCCTGGGTCAGTAGCACTGTGCTTTTTAATCATATGACAGGCGTGCCCCTTCTGATTTAGCCACTTGCAGCATTATTTTTGGTACAATACAGTAAGTTAAAGGTGTGCTTTGAATAGGACTGGGAGAACAGTTCACTATTTTGAGAAAATATATATCCTTACAGTAAAAATACCCAATTCTAAATCAACTGGGTCATTTACAAAATTTCCATATTAAGAGGGTCTCAAATATTTATATACTGGGGGAAAACACAGGAAAACTGTGAAAGACTCTGATCTCAAACTGCATCTTCTATCTTTTAATTCTGTTACCAAACTAACCCACAAACAAACAAAATCGACAAATAAAAATCTACCTACTGGGTTTCCTTCCCCCACCATCAGTTATTGAGGAAGCAAGAGAGGAATTACTCTCTTGTCAAGTGGGCAGAACTCTTAAATCGTCAACAGTGTCCTAAATAACATTATATTCTAGTGATAAATAAAACTAGAAAATGTGGAGACTAATCCAAGCTGATTTTTAAAAGACCATCTCTTTACTGTCAAACAGGAACACACAACACATGGGCTTCCAATTGCTCCTAACAAAATCTCAGGTTGATCAAAATAAGCATAAAATATACAGCAGAGCTCCAAAGATAGAAATAGCACAGAGCGTTACAGATTTAGGACAGGTCGTGCTGCTCGGTCATGAGGAAGTTTGGAGGTCTCAGCAGAAGGCCGAGAGTGAGCCTCTGCTCCTTCCTTCTTGGTTACAGGCCGTAAGGATTGGCTAGTCACATACTCGGCCGGCTCTGTGTTTGTCATCCAGAATATCATTGACCCGCCACAAAGATGTGGATTAATTAAAGATTTTAAAGTGCTCTAAAAATGCCCAGGAGTGCTTAAAAATAACCTACCCAACATCACTATGAGCAAATATAAGACTATTAACTCTCTTCTCTCCCTCCCCTCACCCCACTAAAAGCATTCCAGAGACTTTAATTTGGAAAGTTAACGTTTAATTTTGGTAACATTAAATGAGTATAAGGTAAAAGCTAAAGAACTGCAAAGCAGTTGCTTTAGCATTTCTAAGAATCCTCCATCCTGTGACTTAACTCTAGCCTCCCTGGAAAGCACTGGAATTCCACCTACACCTGCAGAAAATAAACTTAGAAATTCTGATGTTGTAAAAGCAGTGAGGCTGCCTGGCACTGCATTCATTTCCCTTCGCTTGCTTATTTCATTAGCCAAAAAAAGAAACAGAAATTATCATTAAGAACTGTCAAGGAGTGAACCAGAAAATTGTAACTTGAAGTTAAAATAAGAAACCAGCTCACTCGTGAAGCCTTAAATGGAAGTTAATAATACTTGTACTAAACGCTTTGCAAAGAATCAAGGCATTTGTTTTTAGGAATGAAGCCGATTCCAGTTGCTACTTTCTGAGGACCACGTTAGGCACCACACACGCGTGCTCACAGGGAGCCACACCTTTGTGGGGCCATGCTTTTGAGCATCTGACCTGCTGTTTAAAAAGGAGGTGACTCAAGAAGCTTCTGGAAGAGTGTTAATAGGTAGGCAGCATGCTGATGAACTCTTGGATAAAGGAGAACAGTCTATAAGGGGTGAGAAAAATGGAGAGGCTGGGCTCCTCACAGCGGGTTCAGGAAACAGAGCCAAAGGGCTGGCCCGAGGAGCAGAATGGGCCTGTGGAAAGGACGCAGGGTGCAGCCCGGCTGGCCCTAAAGCGTTCCCAGAGTGAGGTGGGGTGCCCAGGCTGGGGGGGGCTATTTGGGGAAAGGATCTGTTCCCAGAGCAAATGTGCCATTTATAACTGAGGGACTGTCATTTGTTGGCTAGAGCCCTCCAAGAAATCCTCCTCAGAAACATACGGCTTCAGAGATTTTCCTGGGATTGGCCAGCTGGTCCTGTCCTCAAGGCCCAATGGGGGGCAGTGGGAAAAGACCCCGAGCTTCCCTCTCACAGTTCCGGACCGGCTGTTCTCAGTCTCAGATACTTGACTTCAAGGAGAGAAACTAAAATGGATTTGGCTGAAGCATTTCGAGTTAGGTCACCTAAAAACAGGCACACCGCTTGCTCACCAGTCACCTTCCATAGAAATACAGCCTAGAATCCTGCACCTTCCATAGAAATACAGCCTAGAATCCTGCACCTTCCATAGAAATACAGCCTAGAATCCTGCACCTTCCATAGAAATACAGCCTAGAATCCTGCACCTTCCATAGAAATACAGCCTAGAATCCTGCACCTTCCATAGAAATACAGCCTAGAATCCTGCACCTTCCATAGAAATACAGCCTAGAATCCTGCACCTTCCATAGAAATACAGCCTAGAATCCTGCACCTTCCATAGAAATACAGCCTAGAATCCTGCACCTTCCATAGAAATACAGCCTAGAATCCTGCACCTTCCATAGAAATACAGCCTAGAATCCTGCACCTTCCATAGAAATACAGCCTAGAATCCTGCACCTTCCATAGAAATACAGCCTAGAATCCTGCACCTTCCATAGAAATACAGCCTAGAATCCTGCACCTTCCATAGAAATACAGCCTAGAATCCTGCACCTTCCATAGAAATACAGCCTAGAATCCTGCACCTTCCATAGAAATACAGCCTAGAATCCTGCACCTTCCATAGAAATACAGCCTAGAATCCTGCACCTTCCATAGAAATACAGCCTAGAATCCTGCACCTTCCATAGAAATACAGCCTAGAATCCTGCACCTTCCATAGAAATACAGCCTAGAATCCTGCACCTTCCATAGAAATACAGCCTAGAATCCTGCACCTTCCATAGAAATACAGCCTGGAATCCTGCACCTTCCATAGAAATACGGCCTGGAATCCTGCACCTTCCATAGAAATACAGCCTGGAATCCTGCACCTTCCATAGAAATACAGCCTAGAATCCTGCACCTTCCATAGAAATACGGCCTAGAATCCTGCACCTTCCATAGAAATACGGCCTAGAATCCTGCACCTTCCATAGGAATACGGCCTAGAATCTTGCACCTTCCATAGAAATACAGCCTAGAATTCTGCACCTTCCATAGGAATACAGTCTACAATCCTGCACCTTCCATAGGAATACAGCCTAGAATCCTGCACTTTCCATAGAAATACGGCCTGGAATCCTGCACCTTCCATAGAAATACAGCCTGGAATCCTGCACCTTCCATAGAAATACAGCCTAGAATCCTGCACCTTCCATAGAAATACGGCCTAGAATCCTGCACCTTCCATAGGAATACGGCCTAGAATCCTGCACCTTCCATAGATATACGGCCTAGAATCCTGCACCTTCCATAGGAATACGGCCTAGAATCCTGCACCTTCCATAGAAATACGGCCTGGAATCCTACACCTTCCATAGAAATACAGCCTAGAATTCTGCACCTTCCATAGGAATACAGTCTACAATCCTGCACCTTCCATAGGAATACAGCCTAGAATCCTGCACTTTCCATAGAAATACGGCCTAGAATCCTGCACTTTCCATAGATATACGGCCTAGAATCCTGCACCTTCCATAGAAATACAGCCTGGAATCCTGCACCTTCCATAGAAATACGGCCTAGAATCCTGCACCTTCCATAGAAATACGGCCTAGAATCCTGCCCCTTCCATAGAAATACAGCCTGGAATTCTGGCGCTCATTTGAAAGGGAGAGACTCAGGGCTGAAGAACTCCTGGGAAGTCATCAGAAGTGGGCAAAATAAAACTTGCTGCTCCTTTTCTTTCGTTCGCTCTTTTCCCTTTAGCTCCGCACAGTGTGCATCTGTTTAGAGGCCCACCCTGCAATGCGATTTCTTTCATCTGTGTTTACAAAACTGTTTACACAGATGCACATACCACTGCGCTCCGGCGGGGTCTCCATCGGGTGAGAAGGGAAAGATAACTGGGAGCATTTAACAGCTAAGCACGGGAGGGCTTCGTGATGGAAACAAAGGCAGGAAAGATACACGCTGCAAAGAATGCTTTCATTTTCTCCCTGCGCTCCGACAGAGTTTTACTGGATTGGAGGCTGAGCTGGATTAAATAATCTCTTAAAAGCAGACCTGAGCACTCCCTTATTTTCAGCCAGATGCCAGTGGCACATCTTCTGATCTTCTCTGCTGATCTAGGGGATGACTTTGGCTGAGTTATTTTCCTAATGGTGTGTCGGAGCCAGCTTGCCCTGGTTTGTTGTTAAATTTCCAGACATTCTGTGAGCCAACCGTTAAGCACAGCCATTAAGAAGTAAATTATGTAAATTTAAAATTTTTAAAAATTACATTAAAAACAAAGGCTATTAATATTCAACGCTTGTCACTTCCTAATTATTGTTCTGCATCTTACTATTAATTATGCTCTCGATGTTATGCCTATCGTAACTATATGGTAGAAAATACTATAAAATGGAGCACCACTGTCCATCTCTTTCCAATTCCACATTCAGGGCTGTCGCAGTGATAGCTTGGAGTCAGCCGTGGGGGAATATTTACATCGGACTCATCACCGCCTACAGGTCAGGTGTTTGGGATTCTCTCCCATAGAGCCCGTAGTTCTGTATTTACCAGCACACCACTGGCTCTATATAAGTACAAGGTAGAAGGGGAAGGAAGAATGCAGTTTATAATCTACCTGTGTTTTAAGCTGTATTAAGACCTCTAAAAGTTCCTCAATATTTTATTTAAATGTAAATTTACTCATCTCTAGGAATCAAGGATTACCCACCACAGCATTCTTCCTAGCTCCACGTTCTGGTTCTTGTTTGGCTCCTTTCTAAGTAATAATAATTTGGTCTCTATCTCTTTAACTGTATAGTCTCAGTGTCCAGGGTCATGTGTCTACTGATATTAAATACTCATCACATGGAAAGGATGGAAAATGGTTTTAATCAAATAACTTCTATTCTGCAAAACCGTGTACAGTTATGCCATTCAATTTAAGGTAAAGAACCTAATTCCATAAGTCACCTTCTAAAATTAGTCTCCTAACTTTATAGAACAAGTACACACATATGCTCATTAAAAAAATGGGATGATCTGATTTAAAGTGTAAGCGAAGCAATTTAATTCAGGCAAAATGAAAGGGAAATGTTCAAATGTCAGCATATAGATTAATTTTTCATTTTAGCAACAAGTTTAAGTGTTTATAAAAGGACTCTTAATAAATTACCTTCTCCACAAATTATTTATAACTATAGAGAGGGCAAGCTCTTTCTAAAAATATTTTACCCAGATGTGCAAAATTAATATGTTCACTGTAGGTTCTAGGAATTGGTAACAGAATTTCTTCCAAGTTATTAAAAACAGTTTTGACAAAAAACAGTATTTGCAGTGTACCTGTGGTCCATGGGGTATCTGCTGTCTTGCATGGACTGTGATGGAGGGAGGTGAGCTGGGAAGGCGTGGTCAGGTTTCGGAGTGTGAGTTGAGTTTGGAGATGCATGATGTAGTGGGGACACTGGAGTGCTGGATGGGGTTGGGGGGTTGGAGGGCCTCATTCCCACTTGTGGCTTCTGATCGTAGGCACTACCCAAGGCACACAAAAAAAGAGAGAGAATATTTGTTTCTTTGGAGCAATTTTAAAAATTTTTTTCCAACCTAAAGAAACAAAAACACATTTTAAGCTTAAGTCATAAGGAAGTTAAAATTTTATGTATTTTGGTGTTTGTAATTCTAGAACATGTAATCTTCAAAATTGCCACACACTTAAACAGAAGACAGGGTAATGAGTATAAAATGGTAACGGCATTAACATAAAATGTCTATATTTTATATATATACAAACAACTTAGTATGAGGAAGAGGACTCTCTACGGAAGCAGTGGCACCATTTCCATCTATTCTTGATATATCTCCTTGAGCTAGTTTCATAGATCTTTTCTACATCATTAAATTATTCTGATATATTATAATTCTTCAATATTACATTAGATTTTAGAACAAGAACATCAGTTTAATAAGACGGAGACCATACCTGGCTTGACTTTATTTGTGGTGGAATTTTAAGAAGGCAATGCTTTTGCCTTATTTTCATTTTTTATATAAAATAAATGATGCTTGCTATTAAATTCCTGATATGGGATAATAAAGATTAATGAGGCAAATTAAAATCTCTCTGGTATAGTTAAGCTTTCTTAGAGAGTAAGTACAAAGTAATATTCTTTAGAATAAAATCCTATTGTCATAGTCTAATTTCTAAGCACTCACGAAGGAGTAAGGTGAGTGAGCTTGCTTATGAATTTCAGCTGATCACCTATGTATGCCTTTTGAGAATGTGATTTAACTAATTTTTGTGATCTAAAAAATATTTTACTAAAAAAAATTTTACTTAAATTTCCAAATAAAAAAGATATATCTAGGTTAAAATACTGTATTTCCTTGTAAAATAAAAAGAATTCATCAATACATATTTTTCTTTTAAAATAAATGGGTTTTTTTGCACTGACTTATGTAATAGTTTATTCTGTTGCTCCATCTATACAAGAGGATTACATCCAAGTGTAAAAATACTTTACAGACGTGAAGGAGTATACACTGTATAAGTCTACTCTTGCCTTAAAGTACAGCTACTTAGTTTCTTTACCAATATTTCTAAATGAGAACCTACTTTTCTAAAATGGTTCACCTGACTCATATCCATGTAAAAAGAAAAAAATGATACATCCTTTGCCCTAGGATAGTACTTTTCCCCCCATGAAATGTATTCATAATTTGTATGGAGAAGGAATTACCAGAATTTAATCCATATTTCACTGTGGAAATTATTGGTCCTCAGGAAGAACCTCAAAATATTCAGGCAATTCCTCTATTGTTAATTTATGGATATTAAATATGCCATATAAAGCAGTGGTTATTTCATAGTCACACTTCTGATCAATGCTGAAAGTCAATGACAATTTTGTATCTATTTGGTTCATTAAATAAACATTCTTCACTATGTTAAATAATTATTCTGTGAATACATAACATTCTTAAGGAGAAAATACAAAAAGTAAAAACACTATAAAATGAAACTCAGATCAATATTGTTTTATCTAAACTGAGTATGCTTTCATAGTTAGCTTCAACAAGAGATCTTTTTCATAAAAGCTTTATAGTTTTAATTGAACTGGCTCACAATTTCAGGCTCTGGTGACTCCTAGAAAAGCAGAAGTAAAATATAAATCTGAGTTTGCAAGACTAGTAATAGAATATGCAAGCACTGGTTGCACAAATCTAAGTTTCTTGAATCTTAAATACCCTGGTATAGAGTGTAAGTAGTAAATGTATGAGAAAATATAAGACCCATTTAGATTACAATGTATTACGAACTTGAATCAACATAACTTATAAAACTGCAAATATTTATAATCATTTTTTAAGTTTTCAAAGTAACTCCTTTTAAGAACTAAGTTTCTACTATAATTGAGAGTAATAACATTCAGTACACAGAGCCAACTTCTTCCTTATGCAATTAGAGGCCAATATGAAAAGTAGCAGAATGCAATTTACTATGAAGGGTTTTTAATGAACATATATGTTATCAAATTTTCTAACAAATGAATGATATACTTTTATTGCTCCACCCTTTATTATCATCAAAAGGAACAACTGGCTTTTTAACAGATAATAGCCTCTGCTAAGCCTTATAAAATTCTAACTTTATTACAATTGTCCATGAATGCATCTTATAGATCATTTGCAAAGCCTGTCAGATAACTAATGTACTGCTGAGACAGGCCAAATGTTTCATTTTTTTCTACAAACTCTATCTAAAGTGCATAATGCATTCATTCTAATGAGAACTTTCAATAGCTGCTCAGGCCAAGTCAGACCCTCTTTTCAAACCTAGAATGTATCACTGAGTAGAAAAGCAACCAATAATGTGGATGAAAATTATTACTTTAAAATTATTCTGAAAGTGTGTGACTGGATGGTAAATGGTTTTTTGTAGTTCTTCTAAACACATTACCTAATTGGCTTGTTATATGCTGAAGATATAACTCCTATAAAATTTCACTTGAGACTGTACATTAGATTCTGGACTTGTTGTTTCCGTAAGAACCACCATCTTCTCTATATACACCTGATTGCTTTACCTGACATTGTACAGGCACTTTTCTCCATAGCTGAATTTAAAGGGGTGTTCTTGACTGCAGGCAGAGCCAAGTTCTGAACATGGACTGTGGGGTTCCTTCTTGATTTTCAGTGGTAGGCCATGAAAAGCCACTAGAAAACAAAACAAAACAAAATGCCCATAAAAATGAAATGCAGTTAAGAATTAAGTATATTAACCTGCTCTACTTCTCTAGGTTAAAATGTCACTAACATTACATATTAACTTCTATATAAAAGAGAAATCACATTTGATGAATTTCATGGAAGATTCTAGAGAATCTCAGTATCCTCTGTTTCTGTTTATTGTCTAACAAAATACATGCTTGGACTCTCATTATTTAAAGTAGATCACCTGTAATTTGCTTAGCTGATATTAATAATAGAAGCTCTGTTTTCAGAAAGTATGTTTTGAAAAAGCTACGGAAAGATTTCCAATGATTAAAACAGAAAAAATAGAACTGAATTAACTGAAGACTGGAACATCATTTTAAGCATTATTGAAAGGAAAATACCTCAAATCCATCAATAGTAATGGTTTAATAGAATGACAACTGGACTATGAGAAAGAAAATCTAGGTGCAGGTCGACTCGAAAACTGGGGCAAAAATCTCAACATCTCTGAAAGCAATGCTCATCTACAAAACAGATAAAAATACCTGCCTATCTACTTACCTGAACTGTGAAGATGAAATATGAAAAATATGTGACAGTTATTTGTCACATGTAATCCACCATAAAACAATTATTCTCTATCACATGATGTTTTCTCTTTTTTCTAATGACTTAATATACAGTTATAGTTATACTCATTAATGCTTAATATAAATACGGAGATCATATAAAATATGAAGGTTACAAGACATGTATATTTGAAGGGAGTGATAGCTTTAAAAACAATAAATAAATAATACTATGCATTTTTTCTTCTTCTATATGAAATTAAAAATGTATTTATCTGTTAGAGATTCTGTCAGAACAATTGAAGTTTTAGTATACATAGAAAATTGGTAAAAAGATAAGGAAAACAGACATAAGAATGGATTTTCTTTTCATGTATGACTAGTCAAGGGGCAAACTAAGAAGGGCACACATTCTGGAGATTTATTGTAACTATGATAAACACTGGAATTAAATCACAAAAGATTAAGTCGGTATTCTATAAAAATATGACAAGAGAAACCTTGTGGTTCAGATACCATTCAGTCTTGATTATGATATTATGACATTACAAACTTGAACTAGCTTGAATGTCATAAATAATTTAATATTAAGAATGTGATATCAAGAACTACCAAGCTATAGGAGAAGAAATACTATTTGTTTGTAAACGTATGTAATTTTGACAGAATTATTCATGGTACTCAAGATCCATCTTTGAACATATATAGTAAAACGTGTATCCTCAAGTCTAGCACTTTCGATTAAGTATCAGGTTTTACATTTTCTTAAGAAGATGTAGCAACATATAAGGAACTCGATTTGTCACTTGAAGATGTAACAAATTATTATACCTGAGGGATCAGATCTAATTTATAAGCATAAAGTTGATAAGACCTCAAGAGTTAATAAATATGCATTATGATGCAGCTTATCACATTTATCAAAATATCAGGTGTATCAGTGAATACTAGATTCAATGTTACCATATATTAAAAGTTACTGGGACCATGAGGTAAAATAAGATTAGCGAAAGAACAGAAAAAGCACTAACCATACAGAAAATAATCTACAAATTAGGCTTCCCTGAAATTAAGAACTTTTCTTTATCAAAAGACACTATTAAAAGAGTGTGGAAGGTGCCCTAGTGGGTTTGGCTCAGTGGTTAGAGTGTTGGCCTGCGAACTGATGGGTCCTGGGTCCGATTCCAGCCATGGACACCTACCTCGGACGCAGGCTCAATCCCTGGCCTGGGTTGGGGTGTGTGCGGGAGGGAACAAACCGATGTGTCTCTCTCACATCGATGTTTCTCTCTCTCTCTCTCCCTCCCACTCTCTCTGAAAAGCAATGGGAAAAATACCCTCAGGTGAGGGTTAAAAAAAAATGTTTTTAATTAAAAATAAAAGAGTGCAAGGTATGCTACAGACTACAAGATGTTTGCAACATATTCAGCATAGCAAGAATTGCTACAAGTAAGACAAATCTAGTAACCCAATTAAAAATGAACAAAAGACATAAGCGGGGAGTTCGTGAAAGAAGATGCCCAAATGGCAAAACAAACAAATGAACAACAACAAAAAATGCATGAAAAAGTATTCAACATCTTTACTCATCAGGAAAATGCAAATACCACCACATGAAATTCTCGCTCTACTAGAATGGCTAAACTGCTAAAGCTTGGCACCATCAAGATTGAACACCTAAAGCAACAGCCATTTTTATAAATCCTACTGAGATTATAAATTGATACACTTTGAAAAACTTTTGGCAGTACCTACTAAGGCTCAACATAAATCTCTCCTGTGTCCAGTAATTACACTCTTGCATATATATAATATCCAAAAGAAAGGACTGCATATGTTCACCAAAAGACATGTGCAAGAATGGTCAAAGCAGTTTTATTCATAATGGCAAAAACTGGAAAATTTCGAATGTTCATCAGCAGGTAATAGATGAAGAAATCGTGGAGTATTCGTACTATGGGCTACTATGCAGTAATAACAAAAACAAATTACTGACACATACAGAAACATAAGATTGTCTCACAGGCGTGGAGTAAAAGAAGCCAAGCATGAAAGAATACGTAGTGTATGAATTTCAAGATCAGACCAAACTGACAGTGAAAGAACCTCCTTCCACTGGTGGATGGGCGTGTTGATGACGGAGAAAGGGCACTAGTAACCTGTTACAGTGCTGGACAAACTTGCTATCTTGCTCTGCATGGCAGTTATTTGAATATATACATCTGTAAAATTCACGGAGCTGCACACCCAGGATTTTTGCATTTTAATAAATGCAAATCTCAACAAAAAGCTTTAAAAATGTGAGGGGCATCAAGCAATGAATGCTACACAAATAAATATATTTCAACCTGTTTGGCTTCCTGTTCCAGCAGATAACGTGCTTCAGCTTCCAAGATAAATATTCCAAATGAGTGAGGGGAGGAATGACAAGTTCGGGGCACCATCAGGAGTGGCTGCTAGAGTGACAGCAGCCTCCTATCAAAATGTCCACTGGTATCAAACTAGAACCAAGAGGTGTGATCATCCCACTGTCTGACCTCTAGGGTTTTCAGGTACGCTTCATGCACTTCCCTAAACTGACTTTAGAAGAAAGGATATAAGGATTCCCAAAGTGCTATCAGAGGCAAGCTGATCCCTAAACTCAGGATCCCCGAATCCGGCCCAACATCTAATTACCCAGGTAACTTTTGAAAAAAACAAAGATTCCAAGATCCCATGTTATATATAGGTTGAATTGTGTGTCCCACCCCTCCCCCAGAAAAAAATCATATATTGAAGTCCTAACCCCAGTACCTCATATGTGTCTTAATTTGGGAGATTAATTAAGATGAGGTCATTAGGGTGGGATCTAACCCATTACGACTAATGTCCTTATAAAGGGGGAAGGGAATTAGGATACAGAGACACTCACAGGAGAACGTCATGTGAAGATGAAGGTAGAGATCAGATCGACGCATCTACAAGCCAAGGAATTGCCAAAAGATTGCCAGCAAACCACCAGGAGCTAGGAGAAAGGTCTAGAACAGATTCTCTCTCACAGCGCTCAGAACCCTGCCTCCACCTTCAACCTCAGACCTCTAGCCTCCAGAACTCTGAGACAATAAATGTGCGTGTTTTAAGCCACCCGGTTTGCGGTACTTTGTTATGGCAGCCCTAGCCAACTAAGGCTGGGATATATCTCAGGATTCTGTATCTTACAAAATTTCTAGGCGATTGTCATAACCGGGTTAATTTCAAATCCATTGTGATACCTGGCACCACCTGGAACCAGTGTGAGCTGCACTGAATTGGGTTCAGCACTTGAAAAGACTTAAACAAAAACAAAAACTAACGAAGTCTTCCTTTTCCTTAGGCGCCAACCCTCAAGAATTCTCACAGGTTCTCTACTTTCGGAAGCTGGGGGCTCCCCTACCCTCTTGATAACACATTCCACGTGTGTGGGCCTCTTAATCATTATGGGCGCTCGGAACTGTGATTTTATTTTTCTAATCATAAGCCAAAGAAGTAATCCAATGCATCTGAGTTGGCGAGGATTTTTTTTTGCTTAATTGCTGTGTGTGAGGAACACAAGCAGCAGCCACCCTAAAGATCAGCAGCGTTTTGCACGAGACCGCACGCTACTTTATTTCCCTCGTGTTCCCTTCCCTGCTGCCTGGAGGTTCTGCATCACAAAGGTGACATGTATTCCCGAGTGAGGGTCGCAGAGAGCCTCCCACCCGCGGGGCTGAGCCGGGACCGTGTTGGGTATTTCATCACGGGGCTGAGAGTCTGAGTCGGAGCGTCTGCTAACAGGCAGTTTTCCAGCTCACTGGCACTGGCACAAGGCAAAGCAGCACATTCATTTTGTGCAATTTGCTTTACCTTCCCACATGGAGTTGGTGCATGTAAAAGGCTGTTAAGTACTAAATTATTCCTTATCAAATCACCATCATCTGGAGTCATGATCAACACTAATTAAATTACTTTCGCTGAACACGGCTCCAGCCTGCTGCCGAGGCTGCTAGACATTTCATTTCGCTTACTGTACCGTCCTTGCTGGGTCTGGAACAGACAGCTACCGGCATCTGCATTGTTTGTCGTCTTAATTAAAGTGAATCTCTCCTTCTTCAAGTGTAGCAAATCAAGTGAGTTAACTCCTTCATTTCACTTACAAAGAAAGTGACGGCTCAAAACGGTACTGCTTTATGTCTCGATCGCTGACTCCAGCCTACTCAGGTCATTTATCTATGAAATCTCCAGTCTTCCCCCAGGCATTCCTCAAACACGTATCCGTGCAAACTTGAATGACCCACAACTCCTGGGGACAGTCGGACCTCTAAGAGGAGACGCAGAAAGAACACTGGAGGGATGCATCTTAGGTTTTTTTTGCTTGATGGCTGCTTGACCTTTAAAATCACATCTTAAGGCTGACTAACGATGACTGAGTTCTTC